ATACCGTCTCAGACAAGGGACTGTCCAGTCTCTTCTTAAAAATCTCCAGTGATGGAGCGCCCATGATTTCTGGAGGCAAGCAACACAACACTAGGGCTATGTGCCCAAAATTTCTTTCGCTGAATCTATACAACGCATGGTGTATTTTTTAAAGCTAAATACAATCACAACTGAGGCCAGAATTTTGGTTGCTAAGTGAGATGGTCATTAAGTAAATCATGGCCAGTTTTATGGATTTTTTTTGCCGCGTTTGTTAAGCAAATCCCTGCAGTTAAACAAATCCTGTGACCATTAAGCAAATCTGACTCCCTTTCTCCCCCCCCCCCACTTAATTTTACTTGTCAGAAGCCAGCTTGGGAAGGTCACAAACGGTGATAACCTGAGTCCATGATGCTGGTTGCCAAGTGGCCCAATTCTGATTACGTGATCATGGGGATGCTGTGAGGGTCTAAGTGTGAGGAATGGTTGTTAAGTCACTATTTTTACTTCAAAAGGTCACTAAACAAAATGGTTGCAAGTTGAGGATTACTTGCATATCATCCTTCACTCCTTTGCCTAATTCAATGGTTCTAAACTTTTTTAATGCCGCGACCCCAACCAGTTGTAAGTCGAGGACTACTCAACCGGCCATAAGTCAAGGACTACTCAACTGGTGCAGCACCGTTTGCAGAATGGGACTTTTGGCGGGCTCAGCAGGGCAGAGACAGCCTGGACAATTCCTATTGGCTTTTGAAAGGCAATAGAATTAGACTCTATTCAAGAGAGTCTATTCTATTGGCTTTCAAAAGCCAATAGAATAAAAGGGAGTAGCACAGCTAAGGGGGAAAAAATGGCGGACTGCGTTGTTTGGCAACCCCCGTGAAATGGTCGTTCGACCCCAAATGGGGTCCCGACCCACAGGTTGAGAACCACTGGCCTAATTGTATTAGAAGGCCTGGCAGATGTTTCCTAGACTGAAATATATACCGCGCGCACCGTTCCTACCAGTATCAATGTGGCAATGGCCCATGGCATGGATGATATGCTGGCTCTCTCCGTTCTTCTGGCAGAAAACAGAGCGGGCCAGTTCATGAACAGCCGGGAAGGTTGCAGGGTTGTCGACATCACACAGGTTCACCATCTGGTTCGCTACATAAAGCGCTTGGAAGCTCCGCTGGTTTTCCTCTCCGAGGAGCTTAGCAGGAAAAGAAAGATAAATTTTACGCTGATCAGTCAAATCAAGCTCGCCACCAAAACCTGCTTCAAATTGGAACCCAAAAATATCTGGGGATCAAAAGTTAAAAAGCAGAAATAAGATCATATGCCCCCTCCCCCCACCTCTCACTCCATTAAAATGGCAAAAACGAGATATTTCACCTTGGCCATGTCCAAGAGGATTTCAAAGTCCACCAGAAGCTCACGGACATCCCGGTTGTAAATCACCAGCTCTGCTCTATTCAAGGAGAACGTTTTGTCCAGATCTGGGGGTGCAATCATGCTGCCCTTCCCAGCTCCGAAGAGACCATTGCAGGCAACCTCCAGATAGAGGGTCAAGCTGCAGAAGGGGAAAAGGTGCCTATTACCTTTCTGTTTCAAAGAATCCATGGGCCTGGATTAGGTTCCCAGTGATTACCCTGACACTGCAAAAACTTCCCACCCCAAATCATCTGTTCATCCCTCCGGCAAATAATTTTTCTTTCCACTGGAATTTTGGCAACTTACATTGTTCCAGTTTTATGTCAGCTGATTATGCATTGCGAGCAATGTGCATTTTCAAGACCTGGCATTTCCGGGATAGGATGGCTATCCAAAGTTGATTAAACAGTTCAAATACTTTTAAGCATATCTCTATACGAAGATTTATGTCAAAATACTGGCAAGGTTCATTTCTATTGAACTGCTAGAACAGGGAAGTATTATTTCCATAACAATACTGCAAAATACTGACTCACCCATGAAGGTCGGTCTCCTTTAGACTGTCAGTCAGCATATAACTGGTCTTCTCACCTTCTCGAGTCAAACTCTGATAATGGCAAATAATATATAGTTGGACAGGTGAACAGGAAGACTGTATTGTCAATATAGGTGGTTCTTGAATTATTATGTCCATTACATTCTTTTGTAAACATTTTATTTCTCTCCAGCATTTCCCCCAATGAATAGCATTTGAGGCAGTTTTATTTATTGTGCACTTGCCTTTTTATCATGGGGGCAACGTTTTTTTGGGGGGGGTGTGTGGAGAGCAAAAGAATCTCAAAGAGGATCCAGCTGGTGATAATTTCATGACAGCCACTTACCTGAACGGGCTGGGCATCCCTCCAAACCATTCCTTCTCCATCGCTTTCCCAAAGAAGATGCACTTCCTTTCCTGTCCATTTCTTGGGAATGCTGAGTTCTACTTTAAACCAGCAGGTGTGCCACCTTAGAAAAGTGACACTAAAATTGTCAGGATGCCACAGATTCCATTAACTAAAAAGTACAATGGTTATACCCTTTAAACATTGGCAACCTGAAGATGTCTGAACTTCAGTTCTCAGAATTCTCCAGCCGGCATTATTTTTAGAAATAACTTCCACCTCTTTTCTCTGCCGCAATAGCCCTGTGAGATGGATTGGACTGAGAGAGTAACTGGTCCAAAATTCATTCAGTTGGCTTTCGTGGCAAATGAGGGACTTGAACTCATAATCTCCTGCTTTCTAGCCTGAAGCCTTAACCACTAGGCTAAAGTGGTTCTAAACTAAAGTACAAACCCTTCATTTTGTTCCCTTAAGAAATGAGATGGGAAATTCAGCTATGAATAAGGAAATACTTACGTCTGTCCAAAGCTATCTCCAACTTTAATAGGGCTGAATTCTTCCCCAATAGCTTCACTGTATGGAATTCGTTTAGAAGTTTTAAAGTAAGACAGAGACGCCAATGCACATCTGTCACCAAACAGCCTGTTAAAAGACAAAAGAATAATGCATTTTCAGAGACTGAAGATAGCATATTCCTCCCTGATAAACTTCTCATGGTCTTCCAGTTCTTCTACATGATTTAAATTCACATCTGCCTTATTAGGACCAGATTCATTAAATAAAGTTCCACAAAAGCAACTTTTCCAAAACAAATGGTGTTAAGGCGAATTGAGCTCCAACATTTATAATCCACTACTGTAGCTAGAGGGAAAACTTCTATAGCTTAATTAAAATGGGGTTGACTAGTTTCTGGATAGCTTGGGCAAAGGTTAGGGTTATGAATTCCAACAATTGAGTTAAAGTAATCAACGGTTAAAATTAACCATTGATTAGCATACAATGCAAATTCCTAGGATCACAATTGGTGTTTAAGCGTACAAACATGTTTGATCAGTTGCTTTTAAAAGCATTTAAGGATTTTTCTCTCTTTCCTCCCATCTCTTTCAGCTTTCTGTCCTGTGAGAATGATCAATAAGCAGTAGATTAAATGAGTGTTTTTCAAACTTGGAATCTTTAAGATATGTGGACTTCAACTCCCAGAATTCCCCAGCCAGAATGGGGAATTTTAGCAGCTGATGTCTACATATCTCAATGTTAGTGAGGTTGAAAAACACCACTGTAGAGCATGAGAAAGTGCTATTATGGCACACCTTAAATTTGCCAAGTTTACATGATGCCTGAACAACAAAAATCTTCAAGTAGTGCTTTCCACACGCAGCAACTAATTAAAACTATCAATTAAATTGCTGCCATTAAAACTGCTTCCAAAGGAATGCAAGCTAATAAAAATTGCTCCCAGCCAACATCTTCCTTCAAATTCAGTGCAGGCGATTCTAGCCACGCGGTTCAAAGCCACCTCTTCTGTGGCCCAAGAGATAACATCACCCTTAATTGAGAATAAACAAAAGTCAGCCATAGAAGAAAACTCAATATTTAGTAACCACATTGGAGCTTCTGTGCTTTTTAATTGTAAAAGGTAAAGCCTTCAGTCCTGGATTGGCCGTTACATAAACCTTTAAAATTGCTCCATTTTCTTCCCCCTTTCTTTGCAACAGAACAATCGCAGCCTTTTGGAAACAGTACAGGTAATCTTCGACTTACAACAGTTCATTTAGTGACCGTTCAAAGCTACAATGGCACTGAAAAAAAGTGACTTGTGAGCATTTTTCACACTTACAACCATTGCAGTATCCGCATGTCACATAATCAAAATTCGAATGCTTGGCAACTGACACATATTTATGACGGTTGCAATGTCTTGGGAATAACATGATCCCCTTTTGCAATCTTCTGACAAGCAAAGTCAATGGGGAAACCGTATTATTAACTTCACAACTGCAGTGATTCACTTAACAGCTGTGGCAAGAGAAGTCGTAAAATGGGGCAAAACTCACTTAACAAATGTCTCACTTAGCAACAGAAAATTTGGGGATCCATTGTGGTCGTAAGTCGAGGATTACCTGAACTGGGGCAAATGCAGGGGAAGGATTTAGCGAACGGACCAGCCCTAGCCCACCTGCCCCGAAGGTTACAATCCACAAAATAATCCTGCGAAATGAATTTTTCCACCCGTTCGAAGGTGGTGCGCCGGTGCTTCAGCAACGAGGCCTTTAAATCACTCCTCGCTCCTGCCATGCCTTCTTCAGGACCAAAGTTGTTTTGCTTCTGGTACGGCTTCCTAATCCTTCCCTCCGACCCTCAGAGGGTTAACAAAGGTTCCGCCCCTTCAGGGGAAAATGCATCGCAAGAGGCCGAGAAGACAGCGCATGCTCACGAAGGAACAGGGCCGCCTGTTAGTTTTTACCTAGACGCACGTAGGCTCGGTCTGCCCCTAGCGGCGCAAGGAAGAGTAATGAACTTTCCTTGATGGACCGCTCTGCTTTCCCAAGGCCGACAGCTTCCCAGCTCTCGCGAGATCTGCGCCCTGAAGTCTCGCTCCTCGCGCCGTTATCCCCCTCCATCCTTTAACCCGAGACAGAGGGAGGGGGAGGAGGAGAGGCGGGCACTGACGCACGCGCGCCGCCCCTCACGGCCGGCCCAAACCTCGCGAGAGCCTGCGCCGCTTTCCTTTCTTGCGGGCGGCTGAGCTCTCGCGAGAACCGGGAGAGCCCCAATGAGGGAGCGGGGAGGACCGGGCGGAGGCGCTGAGGGGCCCGCCGGTTGTCTCTCTCCCTCCCTCGGTGCCTCGCGGTCTTTGAGGGCAGGGCCCCGCGCCCCCCTCGGCTCTTCTTCTGCCCTCCCCACCCTCCTCCCGGGGCATCCTTCTTCGGGAGAGGAACATGGAGGCGGCCCGGGCAGGTCAGTGGCGATGGGGAAGGGGCGGGGACGGGGGCCAGGGTGGCAAAATGGCCCCTTTTCCCTTTGTGCCCGCCGGGACCGGCCTCCCCTCGGTGAAAGGGAGAAGGAAGCTGTCAGCCATCTTTCTCGCTTGCTTGCCTCTCCCCCCCCTTAATTAGTTTGGCCTTTCCCAGCCTGGTGCCCCCCCCCTCCGCAAGATACCAGCATATGTGGGGACTACAATTCCCATCTCTCTCTCTCTCTCTCTCTCACACACACACACACACACACACACACACACACACACACACACACAGCCTTTCTGGGCTTTAGGCTACAATTCCCGTTTCCTTTGGGGTGCAGTTCACATCATCCCCCTTATCAGGACTATGAAGCCCCAGTTCCCATCTGGGATACAACCACACCCATCATCCCTGTCCATTTCCCTTGGGGTACCGTTCCTCTCACCCCCCCCCCTTATCAGGACTATGAAACCACAGTTTCCATCATCCCCTTCTATGCATCTCAGCATCCCCATTCCAGCTTTGAAACAACCATTGCCATCATCCCCTTCCAGCTCCTTGGACTACAGTTCCCATGGCCCCTCTCTCGGGTTTATCAAACAGTAGTTTCCATCATCTCTATCCATTTCTTTTGGGCTACAGTTCGTATCATTCCCATTCCAGAATTGTTAAACAACAGTTCCCCTCATCCGCTTTAATGGGCCTTGGGCTGTTATTCCCATCATCCTCATTCAAGGTCTGTTAAATGGTTCCCATTATCCCTTTCCATGGGCCTTAGACTACAGGTCCCATCACCCCATCTAAAATCTGTTAAGCTGTGGTTCCCATCATCCCTGTCCTTTTCCCATGGGCTGTAGTTTCTGTCATTGCAATTCCAGAAGTGTTAAATAACAGTTCCCATCATCCCTTTCCATGTCTCTTGGCTACAAGACCCATCATCTGCAGGCCTTCTGCATTCTTCCCATTTTCATGCTCCCTATCCACATTGGCTTGATTCAGTTCTGCCTTTTTCGGTGCTCTAAGAAATGACAATATTGGAGGCTAGACAAGAAAAATATTGAACAAGAGATTAGCAAAATAAGGGGCTGGTTTCTTTTGCCTGTTAATTTTTCTGCTGCAGTACATTCCTCCATCCAGATCCCAGCTCTGTCTGCTGTCAGAAGATCTGTATGCTTGCATAGTAGAAAAAGTGGAGATGAGTGGGAAGCACGCTTTTTCTGTGTGGATTTAAAAAGCAAAGTAGTCTCCAGCAAGTCACAATCTTTCTTCCTGGGATTCAGGGATATATCCACATGTTATGGACAAGACTTCCTTCTGAAAGTTTTAAACCTTGGGTACCATTGGAACATTTGTGATAGACTCAAGCACACTTTGTATTACCCCTCCCAAAGCACTTTTATTAAATAAAGTTCACTCACTATGGTAGAGGTAAAGACAACTTTCTCCATAATTTCTCAAGTACTAGTTATACGTAAAGAATATATGTTTTGCTCTTTAACATTTTAGTTTTAAAAAAGTTGTTTTGTCTCCAGAATATTAAATATAATTTATCATGTATTAATGAAGACAATGAGTTAGCTCTTATGTTTAATTGTACTGAGATTAGATTAGTATCAGTGGGATTTGTTGCTTAAGATTTAAGCTCTATTGTTTTCAGTTTCCAAGTATGACTAAACCTGGATGTGGCCCAATATTTACCAAAGTGGAATTAGATCTGTATAGTGTTTGGGGAAAAAAGTAATGTTATATATAGAATCTATTATGTATCTAAATTCCACTTAAATTAGAATAAAAGTATATATAAAATATAGTATCCACTGCAAATTTATAGGAAAAATACAGGAACATGTTTAGTCTTGCAATCTAAATATTTTTTAAATTTAGTAGTAAATTACAGTGCATTTAATGGGTATTACTCATAGTGAAAATGGATAGGATTGCAGCCTTCCTACATACTACACACACACACACACACACACACACTGAATAACTAATAATCTATCTTTTTTTCAGGACACCTGTTCCAGCACTTAATTGAAACACTGAGCGACAATGCAGACAAAAAGTTCTACAACATTGCTAAACTAGGAGGCACCAAATATGGTAAAAATATATTTCAGTTGTATCTTTCTAATATAAACCTAATAAATCTAATCTCGTTAAGATTTTCTAAGTGGTCTTAAAACGAATTTGAGGATTGGTGGCCTTGTTACTGAACCCATTCTTGGGATTATGCTGCAGAGTTGTAATCCTTAATGCTTTCTCTATTAAAACTGTTTGAATTAATGTGCCTGAGGGTTGCTATTAACTTCCTTCTTCCCGGATATTCAAGTTCCAGTTATAAATAGGCACAGCCTCCTTTGAATTAACTGTAGTAGGCCGTTAATGTGTTTTGGGTTTTTTTTTATACTAAAGAAAGTTTGTCCAGTTTAACTTCTGCTTGCTCTTTTTTGGTTCTGAGAGAAACCTGTGAACCCCTTTCATAACACGGTATTGCAAAATAATATTAACTCCTCTGGTAACAGTATATCTAGAAATGATCTTCCTGAGTTCAAACATATTCATTTTGTTCTGCTTGAAAGGTTTGGTATATTTTCAAATTAATGGAATCTATTAAGTGAATTTCAGAGAGGACTGCAGAAAAAGCTTATTCAGAATTATAGCCTTTGTTTATCAGTTGGTTCAGCTGGGTGTTGTCACCCTGCTGTCTTCCTTATCTTTTAGGAAAAGGACGGAAATTCTGCTTGCTATGTGTACTTTTCAAGAAGCAGATAGTTGACCATATAAAACTGTCTCTAAAAAGCATGATGGGGGAGTCTATTAATTGCTCGCATCCTTCCAGAAGATGACCGGGATAAAAATATATTTAATTTACACTACACAAACGTGGAGGTCTTTTGAAAGAGGAGCTTGAGTTGCTCATCTGGTCTTTCAAATTGTTTGTCATTTCATTTATATCCCCCCTTCCTTCCCTAATGAAGTGCATTGAATCATGCATTTGATTCCTGGATACATGTGAAATCTCCCCATACGACTATTGAAAGTTGAGATCAGAGTTGTTAAGTTATTGATGAACTGTTCTTGGTTCTCTGTCACATTGAAAACCTTTAGGATAGTTGTAAAATTGTTTGGTAGTCACCGGAGTGTATGTTTTGGAATAAGAAACCATGTTAGGGAATGTCTGTTTCTTACTTAACAGCCCAAACTGCCAATACTCTTGTCAGTTCATAAACACTTTTCTATATGGTTAGCCTTTGATGAATCACTTAATGAGGGAGAAATTACCTTATCTGCCTTAGAAAACTCAACTAATTTAAATGAAGCTAGTGAAGCCTGCAGCAATAGTTTGCAACCTTCAGTTGAAAAATTATTATGTGGGTCTACTGACACAGGCTTGCTTTATGCTTATTAAAAAGAATAATTGCTTTTTCTTTCCGAGGTGGTGGTTGCAAGCTCATTGACGTGTGGCAGACTTGCAGAAATTTCCAGTGCCCTTGGACAAATGTTCTCATAATTCATTACTACAGAATTATCTTTCACCTCTTCTGCAATCCTTAATAAAGTTAGCAATCTAATTTTGAAAGGTTCCCTAACTAGCAGCTGTCCCTATTGTTTGTAACAGTGCCGGATTCCAAAATCCAAGAGCAGAACATGTCAACTCTTACTCCTGGCTTGTACTCAACCCTAAGGAAACTAACACCAAGAATACCAGCAAATGCTTCTTAATGTTTTGCATATTTTCAAACGATGCTTAAAGGAAAAGCAATTCAATTGCCAGCTCTTGCAGGTTATAAAGTAGGCTTCTCCCATATAGTGCAGGTAGTCCTTTACTTACGATGACAATTGAGTCCAGAATTTTATGTTGCTAAGTGAGACATTTGTTAAGTGGGTTTTGCCCCATTTTATGACCTTTCTTGCTCCAGTTGTTAAGTGAATCGTTGCAGTTGTTTAAGTGACTCTGGCTTCCCCCATTGACTTTGCTTGTCAGGTCGCAAAAGGAGATCACATGACCCCGGGACACTGCGACCATTGTAAATATGAGTGAGTTGCCAGACGTCCAAATTTTGATCACGTGACCAAGGGGATAATGCAACAGTCCCAAGTGATCATAAGTCACTTTTTTCAGTGCTGTTGTAGCTTTGAACGGTCAATGAACGGACTGCTATAAGTTTGAGGACTGTCTGTAATCAGGATATAGCAGCTGTCTTATGTCAAATTAATCTGTTGGACTAGCTCAGTTGTACAGATAGTGTTGTATCACAGCTTTATAATAATAATAAAGTTGGAAAGGACCTTGGAGGTAATCTAGTCCAACCCCCTGCTCAGGCAGGAAACTCTATACCATTTCGGACAAATGGCTGTCCAGTTTCCTCTTAAAAACCTCCAGTGTTGGAGCACCCACTGCTTCCAGGGGCAGGTTGTTCCACTGGTTAATTGTTCTAACCGTCAGGAAGTTTCTCCTTAGTTCTAGCTTGCTTCTCTCCTTGATTAATTTCCATCCCTTGCTTCTTGTCCTGCCTTCAGGCGCTTTGGAGAATAGCTTGACTCCCTCTTCTTTGGGGCAGCCCCTGAGATATTGGAACATTGCTATCATGTCACTCCTCGTCCTTCTCTTCATTAAACTAGACAGACCCAGTTCCAGCAGCCATTCATTATATGGTTTAGCTTCCAGTCCCCTAATCATCTTTGTTGCTCTTCTCTGTACTCTTTCTAGAGTCTCAACATCTTTTTTACATCGTGGTGACCAAAACTGGATGCAGTATTCCAAGTATGGCCTTACCAAGGCCTTGTAAAGTGGTATCAATACTTCACGTGATCTTGATTCTATCCCTCTGTTAATGCAGCTCTTTATCTCCCCGGGCAGAAATCCCTTTATTCCAAGATTCTCCAAACTTGTCAACTTTAAGACTTGTCGACTTCAATTCCCAGTTTCCTAATTTAGAAGGAAGCCTATGGCAGGGATAACAGCACCAGCGTTTATCCTCAAGCAACTTAGCTACTCTGTCCATTTGCAGATCTCCTGCCTTACACCATACGGGTCATGTTGGAAACGGCCGTCCGCAACTGCAATGGTTTCCTAGTGAAAGAAGGAGACGTGATGAATATCCTGGACTGGCAAGCCAAACAGAACAATGTTGAAGTGCCCTTTTGTCCTGCCAGAGTCCTCCTCCAAGATTTCACGTAAGACCCGCTTTTTCCGAGTTCTCTGTTTTAGTTAGACCCTGATGAGTTTTCCTAAATGTCCTGGGTGGGCCTTTCCGAGTATTTAGATGGTCAGAAATTCAGGTCGTATGAGTTTATCTTGGCACCGGCTCCGAAGCAATAACTAGAGAAAGTCTGTTAGGATTGAAATAGTGAAAGATCATTACAGCAGGTTGAATGTTTCAGGATAGCTCCATGCAGGCATTCAGACAGGAATTTTTCTGAGTCTAATTGACAGATTGGTCATCCACTATGCCCCCAACCTATGCTAGTCAACCTATGATGGGACTTGCATGTTAAATGTAGCCATGATGTGCCTGTGTAGTTTAAGCTTTGCATAATACAAGAAACCATCTATTATCATCTATGGCAGTGATGGCAAACCTTTTAGAGACCGAGTGCCCAAACTGCAACCCAAAACCCACATGTATCGTCGGGTGCCAGGTGGGCATTGCCAGTTGGGTGGGTGTGGCCCATTGGGTGAGCGTGGCTGCGGTGGTAATGGCAGAGTGGGTGGGACTAAAAAGTTCAATCAATTCCAACTTTGCAAGATCTTTTTTTTTCCTCGAGAAATTGAAATTGATTGATTAATTGAACCTATATTTTTTTGGCACACGGCAGAGGCGTAAAGCTAAAAGTTTTATAAAATCCAGCTGAAGGCCTAGGACTGGGGCGATGGCACGCGTGCCCACAGAGAGGGCTCTGCGTGCCACCTGTGGCATGTGTGCCATAGGTTCGCCACCACGAATCTATGGTTTAGAGCAGGGGTAGGCAACCTTGGCTCTTTTATGACTCGTGGACCTCTGAGAGTTGAAGTTCACGAGTCATAAAATAGCCAAGGTTGCCTACCCTTGGTTTAGAGCAATGTGTGAACTCAGCCGCTGTGGCTTAAACCAGGGGTCTCCTCCATGCTGGCTGAGGAATTTTAGCAGTTGACGTACACAAGTCTTAAAAAGTTGCCAAGTTTGGAGACCCCTAGCTTAAACCATAGTTAAATCACGGTTAATCCTCTTGATGAGATGGATCCCACCTTCTTTGGATCTACATTGCTGGTCTTTTAGATATACTAAGTAGAAAACATTGTTCCTGTTTGCCAGTGGAATTCCTGCAATGGTGGACTTTGCTGCCATGAGGGAAGCAGTGAAGAACCTCGGAGGAGATCCCACCCGAGTCCATCCTGTCTGCCCAACAGATCTTACGGTGGACCATTCTTTGCAGATTGACTTCAGCAAATGGTACCCGTCGAATTGTCGGCTTCCTTCTATTTTGCTGGGGACAGGTGGATGGAGCCCTGTCTTGAGGGTGGAATGCTTGTCTTGAAGGGGGTAGACTCAAAAATGGGGTGTGTGGAGATGCTGAGTTGATCTAATTTAGGTACACTGAATCCCCTCGTATTGGAAGCAGGAATAGGGAATTTCTCTCACACACACACACACACACACACACACACACACACATTTCTGGGATTTTCCATTCCCATCAACCCAATCAGATGTTGAGGTACCAATAAAAGGCAACCAGTATATTACAGAGGTATTCCCCAAATGAAATCTCTCTCCCTCCCTCTCCCCCCTCTTCTTTCTCTTCTTTTATTATTTATTTATTTATGAGACTTATATACTGCTTTAAGTGCAAGCACTCTCTAAGTGGTGTACACCAGTAAGCAATGTATATATACATTTACATTGCCCCCAACCATCTGGGTCCTCCTTTTGTCTGTGGAGACTAAAAATCAAAACAATTCTAAAGTTCATGTCAAAAGTATATTGTAATTTAGCATAATAAGGATTCAAAGGATTGCAAAGAACAAAGCATTCTTTCCATTTCATTTTTGCCTAGTGCAATACAGAACGCTCCGAATCCTGGAGGCGGTGATCCCCCACGACCCCCTTCCTCAAAACTCTCCCCGCTTAAAGCTCCTCGGAAGCTCCCATGCCGAGACCAGTCCAGCTGCAAAGGACCGTGTGATGGACAGTCAAAACGGAACCCGGGCCAGTTTTCTGTGCAGATCGAGAACACCCCCCTCTTGTGTCCTTTTCATCTTCAACCAGTGCCTGAGTAAGCTTGCCTTTTTACGTTTCCCTCCTGGCTTTGCAGGGTCATTTCTGTTAGGCAGTCAAGAGCTGTCAACTAGCAAGACTGGCTTCCACCCAGATCTTACCTGTACTCACCTATTAAGCTTACTTTGGAACCAATATCAAACCACCTTTGTGGCGAAGGATTTTCACTGATGGGAAATTGTATATGTTTGTTTGTTTATAAAATTTATTGGCCGCTCATCTTACCTAGGGTAACTCTGCATGGCTTATAGTCATCAAAATATATCTATACGCATACAATTAAAACATAAATAATTAAAATGAAACATTAAAACCTAAGGACACATGGGAAATACCACTTTCACCCTCTAACATTCTATTTTTCATTGTGCAAAATTTCCTGGAACGTTAGCAAGAAAAAAAAACATTTCTTTGGGCTGTTTTTCTAAGTACTGCAGATAACGGTTTTAATATGTTTTTTCCCCCCCTTTCGTCTACTTAGGCCTGAAACAGTATTTAAGAATCAAGAGATGGAATTTGGAAGAAACAAAGAGAGACTCCAATTTTTTAAGGTACGTTGCTTTGAAGGCAACGTGACCCAGAAGAATTTGATAGAAAGGCATTGATTATTATTTGTTATGGATTGATAAAGATGTGCCAAGATCAAAAATGATCTCCTCTCTTCTTTCCTACTATATAGAGGAGGAACGGGCACGGCAAATTCTCATATTAATCCCCACTTCCCCCTAGGAAAGGAATTAGGAGGAGGAAAGTAGCCAGCCTCTCTTGGGATGCAATTCTCAGAATTTGCAAGTGCCATTTATTGGGGAGATGTCAAGAGCCGAGGTGGCGCAGCAGTTAGAGTGCAGTACTGCAGGCCACTTTAGCTGACTGTGTTCAGCAGGTCAGCGGTTCAAATCTCACCGGCTCAAGGTTGACTCAGCCTTCCATCCTTCCGGGGTAGGTAAAATGAGGACCCAGACTGTTGGGGGCAATGTAAATATATATATATATATACATTGCTTACTGGTGTACACCGCTTAGAGAGTGCTTGCACTTCAAGCGGTATATAAGTCTCATAAATAAATAAATAAATAAACAAGAGTGGAAAATGCTGATTTAGGAAGTGTGAAGCTAACATGCCTTTTCTGTCTGTCTGTCTGTTTCTCTTTTTATGAATTAAACTAGTGGGGTTCCAAAGTTTTCAGAAATGTCTCGGTAATTCCTCCCGGGACAGGGATGGCCCATCAGATGAATCTGGAACGCCTGTCAAGAGTAGTATTTGATGTCAAAGACTTCCTTTATCCTGACAGTGTTATTGGCACAGATTCTCATACAACCATGGTGAACGGCTTGGGAATCCTGGGATGGGGTAAGTCGCCTGAAGAGGCTTGTGAGTATCTTTCTAAAGAGTTTAATTGGGGTGATATTGGTACAAAGATTATTGGTTATTTTTAAGAACGGGGTGGTTGGCAGCCCAGTGGCTCCCCAAGTGATTTTCAAATGTCAGCCTCATGGTGGTCTCTGTTGCTTAAATTGTAACACTTTTAGATTACAGTTCAAACGACAGGACATGCAGTGCTCAGAAGAGATGAAAGATTGTGGGCAAAAATATTTCATATAGCTATTACTGCACAGAGTTGTTCCCTTTGTCTTCAAGGGAAGTGGTTTTTGTTTGTTTGTTTGTTTGTTTGTTTTGGTATAAGCATGTTCTTGCACTCATCACTATTTTGAGATTGTGCCCTCTGGTTTCCTTTCAGTCCTTTTAAGAATTGTGGCCCTGTATTTACAATTAAACAATAGCCCGCAAAACGTACCTTTAAAACAGTGGTTCTCAACCTGTGGAACGACCATTTCACGGGGGTCGCCAAACAACGCAGTCCGCCATTTTTTCCCCCCTTTTCCTTAGCTGTGCTCCTCCCTTTTATTCGATTGGCTTTGGAAAGCCAATAGAAGAGACTCTCTTGAATAGAGTCTAATTCTGTTGGCTTTCCAAAGCCAATAGGAATTGTCCAGGCTGTCTCTGCCCTGCTGAGCCCGCCAAAAGTCCCCTTCTGCAAACGGTGCTGCACCAGTTGAGTAGTCCTCGACTTACGACTGGTTGAGTAGTCCTCGACTTACGACCGGTTGGGGGGGGTCGCGGCATTAAAAAGGTTGAGAACCACTGCTTTAAAAGGAATGGATATAAAGAAGGTATCCAGGGTTGTCATCTTAATGTTCCTTGGAAGACCAGATGCCGAATAATTTTCTTCCGAAATATATGTAGAAGCTGTGGAGAAATATACCTGTTTATATCATGAGTGGAAGAAGTGTAAAAATGGGTATTGATAATAATGCAACCTTAAATCTCATAAAATCCTTGGGGTGATGTATATAACATACTTTATTTAGGCATATAGCCAAAAGCCACATATAGGAAGAAAATAAGGTCCAGATCCAGGTTTCTTTTGCTGAAGATGAAAAATGTTACGTTTACCCACCTAAAAGTCCACTCTGTTTCATCTAAGGTATATGTCTTCCAGACATGAATTTAGGGCAGTGTTGAATTTTTCCAGTGCAGCCTGTTTTATACATCAGACGAAAGAGCGCTTGGATAAAGATTTCGCATTGGTGTAACGCCTCCGTCTTTAAGCTGTTCAATGCTCTTCTTGCCCCATCTAGGGATGGGTGGAATTGAAACAGAAGCGGTCATGCTGGGTCTTCCCGTCACCCTCACTTTGCCCAAAGTGGTTGGGTGTGAACTGACTGGGTCGGCCAGCTCACTTGCTACATCCATCGACGTAGTCCTGAGCATTACAAAGGTACGTCAAAGCTCTCTCTGGGGCCAGAGAGGCAGTGGGGTCATGTACAAGCAGCCACCAAAGGTAAAACCCAGAGTTGTGAACCACAGGATGGATGGCCATATCTAACTTTGAAATAAATAAAATTTTTAAAAATCTGTGGATTTCTCAACCCCACTGCCACTGACCAATTATTTTGCAAATCCTCAATACAGATAATAGAGGCCCTGCCAGCTTCATGACTCGGCAGCCAAATCTATACTAAAGCAGCCATTCTTGGCAAACATTCAGTGTTCTTCCCACACTTGTTACTACTTAGCTGGATAAAGCAGCACTTGCCTCTGGGAAGTTGTAGAACAGCAATGTTTCATAAGGAGAAGTTGTCATTGCAGTAAGATTTAATCCTACTGTTTTATTTGGGAAGAATTGGGAGGTTTCTGCCTTCTGGGCACCCTTGTATCGATTATGGTTATCAGATGAGCGTTAACGCTGTAATTACAATTGGGTTATGTCATGGCTCCTCTGTGCTTGTTTGTACGCTGAATAAGGAAGAACAAAATTTTGCCAGAAATTGGCCAAAAAAAGGTTGCGGATCACAATCACGTGACCACAGGACTCTACAACTGATCATAAATGCAATCCAGTCGCCAAGCTCCCGAATTGTGACCACAGGAGCACTGGGGCTGGTGCAAAGGTCCTAAAGTGCGAGTACAGCTTGTAGGTCACTTTGTCCATGAAGCAACTGAACTGTCATTAAATGGTCGTAAGTCGACGGCTACTCCTATTTGATGTAGATTTTGGCTTCCCTGTCAAAATAATTTGGCAGGCGGTTCTTAATGTAACTACTGTGTCTCTTGCTGGTTAGGAGGGGCCTAAGTCTGATGGATTCCCGTTTTTAAAACTGCTTACCATTTATTTAAAAAAAAAACAGCGATGCTGTAGCGTTTCCCCTTGGCCGACATATGATACTGGAGAGTTCTTCTTTTTCTGTCTCCATAGCAACTAAGACAAGCAGGGGTGTCTGGAAAATTTGTGGAATTCTTTGGCCCCGGCGTTTCCCAGCTCTCCGTCGGGGACCGAACCACCATCGCAAACATGTGCCCTGAATATGGTGCAATTCTCAGCTTTTTCCCCGTAGATGATGTAACATTAAAGCACTTAAAGCATACAGGTAAGGCTGGCACCGTAGGAGGAGATTTGGTTGGCTAAAGCAGCATAATTGCTCAAGCTTTGCAGATAGGATCAAACTTTTGAATTTTTCTCATAGGCTTTGATGACACCAAACTCAAGTCCATGGAGACGTATCTTAAAACTGTGAAACTGTTTAGGAATTACCAATATTCTGCTAAGGAACCTGAATATTCCCAGGTAAGCACGGAGGGGGCCAGCCTGTTTCAAAGTTACTGTGTTTCTGTTTGCCCCCCCCTCGTCTTTTTTCTTCAAGATTTGCCTTTTCATTCGAAGGCCTTTATTAAACCCCCGAGAAAATAACCATTTCTCTAGACCAGTGTTTCCCAAACTTGACAATTTTAAGGCATGTGGACTTCAACTCCCAGAATTCCACAGCCAGCAATGCTGGCTGTGGAATTCTGGGAGTTGAAGTCCACATGCCTTAAAATTGTCAAGTTTGGGAAACACTGCTCTAGACTGAGGCATTTTACACTCTTTCTTTTCAAACAGGTTGTTGTGTTCTCGTGGTAACATCTAATGAATTATTGGCAAGGGAATAAATTCCTTTTTGATACAGTTGATGAGTATTTTATTCTTATTTCATACTTCTTAACCACCCATCTCCCTCAGAGAGAGGGCTTTGCTGCGAAGGCTTCTTGAATGAAATATCACTAGGACTTTTGAATAAATGCCATTATTTAAGTGGTTGATCTAAAGCAGGGGTCTTCAAACTTGGGGGCCAAGTCTGAAGATCCCTGATCTAAAGCAAGGCTTTTCAACCAGTGGTATGGGTACCACCTGTGGTACATTGGCACCTGGCAGGTGGTACGCGACCATCCTAGAAAAATGGTAGTGGGGGAGGGGAATGAGCTGAACCGATGGCAGCACTGCACAAGCCTGAGCGAGAGACGGCTGGAGCTGCAGGGCTGTCGGGGCTCAGCGGAAGCACCAGGATAGCACCAGTCTCCAGCTGGAGCTTGGGGCTGATCCTGGCGCTTCTGAGCCCAGAAGAAGCGCCGATCAGCTGGAATGTTGCAGCATCTCCAGGGTCTTGTGATTTACATTTAGATGCTTGGCAACTGATTCATATTTATGACGGTCACAGTGTCCCAAGGTCATGTGAAGTGACCAAAACCTGCTGCAACCACCCAGCAGACGGGGGGGAATAAAAACCAAACACCCCCACTCCACCCCCAATCCTCAACAGAAATGCTCACAACAATGAAAACCTTGGACAGAAGGAAGAGCACGGCCGGATGGGCAGGCAGGTGTCTTGCTCGGCTGTGGCTTGGGGGGCACTTTTTTCAGTGCCATTGTAACTTTGAACAGTCACTAAGCGAACTGTTGTAAGTCGAGGACTACCTGTACTTTATCACTTTATCACTTTTTTCCTTTTTTTTTTTTTTTTTGGTCATCAAGTTTTTGACACCTTGCTAGGCAACTGGTGGTACTCGGATGTTGCCATATCCTAAAAGTGGTAAAGTGGGTGAAAATGTTGAAAAGCCTTGATCTAAAGCAGGTGTTTTCCAATAATATACAAACCATAAAGAGCTATGGAATTCAAGATACTGCCTTTTTTTTTAATGCCAGCTTGTCCTCAGAAATGTTTGTTCGTATATTCTAAATCAGAATAACAAGAGTTGAAAGAAACCTTGGAGGTCTTCTAGTCCAACTCCCCTGCTTAGGCTAATTATCCTTGCTTTTGGCTTGCTCACTTTAAAAGCCAAGCATCAGCACAACAGCATCAGTTGTGAAGTAAGAACTAATTAACCATTTCCCCCCCCCCATCAGATAATACATATCAACCTGGCTTCTATAACGCCGTATGTAAGTGGTCCCAAAAGGGCCCAGGATAGAGTGGCTGTAACGAACATGAAGAGCGACTTTCAAGCATGCTTAAGTGAAAAGGTAGGTAAAGTTTCGAAAGTCCATCTGGCTGGATAGTGGAAAGCCGTTTCCTATCGGTTGGAATGTTTTGAAGATTATAAGAACTATCTAGAGCAGCGGTGGCGAATCTATGGCACGGGTGCCAGAGGCGGCACTCGGAGCCCTCTCTGTGGGCACATTGCCCCAGCCTTACCTCCCCCCGCAATCCCATCCTCACCAGCAGCCCCCCTGGAGGAGAGTCACCCCCGAGCATGGCCCACGTGGAGCAGTGCAGCCAAGGACATGGCAGCCAGACAGCATAGACTCTGCCCTCACGCCCCATCGCGCACAGTTGATGCTGCGGGATGTGGGCAGAGGGTGTGGCCACCATAGCGCTGCTGGGCAATCTGCAGCGGGCTCTGGAGGCGGTGAGTGGCTCTGTGGGCAGGCGGGGTGGGGGCAGAGCGGGGGAGGGCAGGGGGTGGAGTGGGGACAGGGCCAGTTTTTGGGCACTTGGTCTCTAAAAGGTTCACCATCACTGATCTAGAGCAGAGGTCTTCAAACTTGGTGTCATGGATGAAACCCTTCAAAAGAACTTTGAGGCATTGTTTACCTTAAAGAATCTTTTATTCGAGATACAAAGTATTGGCACTACATAGTTAAAGCCAAAAACTGAATTCCCCTCCCCTGGGCACAAAGTAGCAAAGCACAATTCCCTCCTCCAATTAACAGTCATAAATCACATGTCCCAATTAGCTTGAAGTGAGGGCTTTCTCCCCAGCTCTCCAGCCCACTGGGCACAATATCCTTGGATTCCCATGGCTGAGTTATTATTGTTATGACTAACTGGACTCTCATCCACATCCCCCCTCCCAGCATCAATGAACTCTAAAAGCGAAAGGGAAAAGATGGCTACATTTCCATCTGTTGTCAAAGCAAGAACATCCGATGTTAGCAGCATTGACACTTGGCCCTTTTATGACTTGTGGACCTCAGCCAGGCACGCTGGTTGAGGAATTCTAGGAGCTGAAGTCCACAAGTCATAAAAGGGCCAAGTTTGAAGACCCATGATCTAGAGCAGTGGCCACTTTAAGAGAGGTGGACTTCAACTCCCAGAATTCCAGGAGTTTGAAGTCCGCCTCTCTTAAAGTGGCCTGAGGTTGAGAAACTCTGCTCCAGAATGCAGCTTTTCAGATTTGAGTACCATAGATGCAGGAAGCGTGTTCTTAAGGTAGCCCTTCGGTTTGCGACCAAACCTTGGGAATTGGCCGTTAACTGCTTCTCCAAAACCCATCATAACGGAAGTAGGGGACACAGAGTTTCCATTCCAAATGAAATCATTCGTGGCCTTTCAGGTTTTTTACATTTCTGTCGTGAGGGTTGGACTGTGCAACATCATAACCTGTATGGGTCCCAGAGTTCTGGTGTCTCCTTTCTTAACTCCCTGACAGGGAAGAACGTCTGGTGTGTGGTGGGACTGACTGCAAACCCCTGTTTGATCCTCTAGGTTGGCTTCAGAGGCTTTCAGATCCCCGCCGAAAAGCAGGGCAGGGTCATTCCTGTTGAATATGAAGGAAATGAATACACGTTGGCTCACGGATCGGTCGTCATTGCTGCCGTCATTAGCTGCACCAACAACTGCAATCCCTCCGCAATGCTAGGAGCAGGTACGCGGGCTTCTCTGGCATTTCCTACATCACGTTGCTATAAACCAGTGGTCCTCAACCTTTCTAATGCCGCGATCCCATAATACAGTTCCCCATGTTGTGGTGACCCCCAACCACTTATACATCACCGGGTGTCAGGGGCGTGGCCAAAGAAAGGGGGGGGAAATGGCAGACAGCGTTGTTTGGCAACCCCCGTGAAATGGTCGTTCAACCCCAAATGGGGTCCCGACCCACAGGTTGAGAACCACTGCTCTAAACGATCACAATTGGGAGCTGAATTTCCATTGCTAAGCGAGGCGGTTGTTCAGCGAGTTTCTCCCCTCCCCGACTTTATGACCTTTTTGACCACCGTCCTTAAACGAATCACTGCCGTTGTGAGGCGAATTGTGATGGTTCTTAAAGTGAATCTGGCTTACACACACACACCCATTGACTTTGCTTGTGGGAAGCTGACTGGAATGGTCACAAATGACGATAGTGTGATCCTGGGATAAATACACGCGAGATGTCAAGTGCCGACGTGACCGTGGGGATGCTGCGGTGGTTGTAAATGTGAGGATTGGTTGTAAGTGTGAAGACCAGCTGTCCTCCACTTGCAAAAGGAAAAAAAAAAGCAGTCGTGGCATTATTGTAACAGCGTCTTCCCTTTTCCATTAGGTTTATTGGCTAAAAGAGCCACTGAAGCTGGTCTGGCTGTTAAACCTTACATACGAACCAGCCTGTCGCCGGGGAGTGGAATGGTCACCCATTATCTCAGTTCCAGCGGTGTATTACCATACCTCAATAAACTTGGGTACTATTTTCTTTGCTCTAATTTGTTATTTTTTTACCCGCTTTCCACAGCTCTGTGTTAGCCTTAGCAGAGAAGATTCCATTTGCTTTTTTTTTTTTTTTGCTTGTTTTATTTAAAATGAAGATGCCCATTAGTGACCCTGCATCATGCCCACCCAGCAGTTGTCTTACCGCTGAGCAAAGTCCCTTCAGACGAGTGTTTCCCAATTTTGCTAACTTCTACATAAATGGACTTCAACTCCCAGAATTCTTGGCAGTGGCCATACTAGCTTGAGCCATTCTGGGCGTTGAAGTCCGCCCATCTTAAAATTGCCAAGGTTGAGAATCACCGCCCTACTGATTTCAACCTTGAAGCCCCGGCTGTTGTGCAGCAGCCCTTCCCTAGATTTCACAAATGCCTTGGTTATTGAAATGCAGTGAAAATGTGAATTAATTCCTGCTTTTCACTGTAGGTTTGAGGTCATTGGCTATGGCTGTTCCACCTGTGTGGGGAACACTGCCCCTTTGCCAGAAGCCATTCAGAATGCAATTGTACAGGTAAGCTTTACTTCGTGAGCTATCTGAGCAGAGTTTACATTTTTGAAATGCTGTGTTTTGATAGGAGAATGCTTATTGTAAATAAGATTTTGTCCTTGCTTATTCAGCTGGAAGGGGAGGGGGAGATGGGAGAGCAGATCTTGTTTAACTGGGACACCAATGACCTTAAAACCAGTAGGGATTGTTTTAGCAATCCCCTGGTTTAATGCACCAGGATAGAAACCAGGTGACAGTGAATGCTAGTCCTGCCTTAAAAGCCAGCTGGGTGATTTTGAGTCAGTCTCCCCATCACCACCTCTTTCAGTCTAACTTACAAGGTTGTTGTCACGAGGAAAATAAAGAGGAAAGACTGTTAGGTTCGTTGGCTGCCTTATTTATCAAATTAATAAAGGCGGGGAAATAACCACACAAAAACTACATCTGCAGAATTTGGTTGCTTTCGGCTTAAGAACCAGTTCTATGGCTTGAGTAGCAGGGAGGTAGTTTAGGAGAGGATGAGAGTACCAAGAGAGAGAAAAAAAAATCCCATTTTCTTCTCTTTTTGTTTTTCCTGTTCAGGGTGACTTGGTGGCATGTGGCGTTGTGTCTGGAAGCAAAAACTTTGAAGGTCGCCTTTGCACCTGTATCCGCGCCAATTACCTGGCTTCTCCATCCCTGGTTGTTGCTTACGCGATCGCGGGAACTGTGAATATTGATTTCCAGACTGAGCCACTGGGTAACTGTGTTCGTCTAGCTTGAATTTGTCATCAGAATGACATTGTCAAAGGGAGCTCACTTATGTAGGAGGAAAAGTCCTGTTCTATAGTGCTCTTTGGACGATTATCTACAGTAGTGTTATTCTGGAACGTATGTAACCCTAACTAGAGAGTGGCTTAGAGAGCAAGTATCAATATGTTAGAATATCTGGCAGTTATTGGGTTAAATGCTAGGTATGTTGATGGGTCAGTGGGAGGAGTCCAAAAGGTCATTGGGAGACTTCCTGGACACAAGCCACATGGGAATATCTTTGTCTGTAAGAAGCATGGGCCATGGAAGGTCACACAATGAGCCTGAGTCCTTATAAAGATGGTATGAAGAGCATCATTCTCTTACCTAAAGAGACGGTCTAAAGAAATGGACAAAGATGTATTTTCCAGGAGTATCAACCGCAGTGTGAATGCAAGTAATCTTTTAAATCCAGTCAGATAGATAACTCAAAAGAAAAGATCGTATAATAAACAAAAATATATTTATTAGAAAGATTACTTGCATTCACGCTGTGGTTGATAATTCCTGGAAAATACATCTTTGTCCATTTCTTTAGACCGTATCTTTAGGTAAGAGAATGATGCTCTTCATACCATCTTTATAAGGACTCAGGCTCATTGTGTGACCTTCCATGGCCCATGCTTCTTACAGACAAAGAGATTCCCATGTGGCTTGTGTCCAGGAAGTCTCCCAATGACCTTTTGGACTCCTCCCACTGACCCATCAACATACCTAGCATTTAACCCAATAACTGCCAGATATTCTAACATACTGATACTTGCTCTCTAAGCCACTCTCTAGTTAGGGTTACATACGTTCCAGAATAAGTGTGGTTTGTTAGCAGTTGCTGTGCCCTCAAACCTGTATTCCAGCATCTTTTGACATAAAAAACCCCTCTCCGTAGAAAATATCTGTAGTTCAAGATGGACTGTAGAGTCCTTAGTGCTGTCTGGTGGTTTTCTTGCAAATCTTTCATTACCCAACTAGGTAACACAATCAGTACTCTATGATCACCCATCAGAGCACCATCAACACCTTCAGAGCACTGACCTTGTTGCCTAGTTGGGTAATGAAACGTCTGCAAGAAAGCCACCCAGCTCAGAAGAGCACCAAAGATCTCACAAAAACTCTCAAAAGTGCCATCTGTGATCCCGTGTTCAACGTGTAAAAGAAAAATTTTGGACTTTACTTACTTACTTTTCACTTCTCTGAGTAGCTTTGGCTGACTGGATTTTATCTCTACCATTCTCCAATTTCTTACAGGGGTGAATCCTGAGGGCAGAAATATCTTCCTGCGTGATATTTGGCCTTCTCGGGAAGAGCTTCAGCAGATAGAAGAGGAGTTTGTGATAGTGTCCATGTTTAAAGAACTGAAAATAAAATTGGAGGTAGTTTTATCGTTTTTCTTTCGTCCGAGGAAGGCTATACAGGTAGTCCTCAGCTGACAACTGTTCATTTAGTGACCGTTCAGAGTTACAGCAGCACTAAAAAAAAGTGACTTACAACCTTTTTCTACACTTAATGACTGTGGCCACGTGATCAAAATTCGGCCGCTCGGCAACTGACTCATATTTATGGCGGTTGCCGTGTCCCGGGGTCACGTAATCCGCTTTTTCAATTTTCTGACAAGCAATGGGGAAGCCATATACCAGTGATGGCAAACCTTTTAGAGACTGAGTGCCCAAACTGCAACTGAAAACACACTTATGCATGGTCAGGTGCCGGGCGGGTGTGGCCCATTGGCTGGGTGTGGCCCATTGGCTGGGCATGGCCCATTGGGTGGGCATAGCTACGGTGGTAACGGCAGACTGGGTGGGACTAAAAAGTCAATCAATCAATTCCAACTTTGCAAGATCTTTTTTTTTCCCACGAGAAATTGAAATTGACTGATTGAACCTTTTTTTTTTTTTTTTTTTTTTTTAGACAGCGGTGGAGGCCTAAAGCAAAAAGGTTTTATAAAACCCAGTTGAAGGCCTAGGACTGGGGCGATGGCACGCATGCCCAAAAGAGGGCTCTGAGTGCTGCCTCTGGCCCCCGTGCCATAGGTTCGCCACCACTGCCATATACACTTAACAGCCACGTTACTAATTTAACAACTGTACTTAACAACTGGCAAAAAGCAAGGTCGTAACATGGGGCAAAGCTCACACTTAACAAATGTCTCATTTAGCAGCAAGAATGTTGGTTTCAATTGCCATATGTCGAGGACTACCTGTATACCATTTGGGCATAAAGCAGGATCAGAGGACCAGAAACAAAAAGGGTGCTTGTTTTTTGTTTGTTCTCTTGCAAAAATGGCTCCTCCTTTTCCAGAAAGGAAATAAGCGTTGGAACTCCCTGGAAGCCCCTGAGTCCACTCTGTTTACCTGGGATTCAAAGTCTACCTATATCCGATGCCCTTCCTTTTTTGATAAGCTGGTAAGTGGGCCGACGTTCGGCGTGAGCGCGTCCGTTCGGAACATGCCAGATGCTCAATCCTGTCTCTCTTTCAGGCCAAAGAGCTGCCGCCTCTCCAGGCCGTTGAAAATGCTCACGTCTTGTTGCACTTGGGCGACGCTGTCACCACCGATCACATCTCCCCCGCTGGAAGCATTGCCAGGGGGAGCGCCGCTGCGAGATACTTGATGACTAAAGGGTGGGTCTTAAAAGAGGAAGGAGAAGAGCAGGATGTCCAGTTCCTCCTCAGAAATTCTTTTCTTCTGGCAGCGATAAACAGAGCAGGCCTCCTTGATTGCAAAATGCGCTTCAGCCTTTTAGACCAGACTTTGCCGTAAACCAGAGGTCTTCAAACTTGGCCCTTTGATGACTTGTGGACTTCAGCTCCCAGAATTCCCTGGCTGAGGAATTCTGGGAGTTGAAGTCCACAAGTCATCAAAGGGCCAAGTTTGAAGACCCCCTGGTCGTCCCCGACTCATGGCAGTAATTGAGCCCAGAATTAAGAGTCGTGAGTCATTGTGGTCGTTAAGCAGGTCACCAGGTAACTGCCTGACTTTATGACTTTTTTTTTGAGGTGGTCCTTAAGTGAATGCTGCTGTTGCTAAGTGAGTCTGTGGGGAGGGGGACATCGGAATGTAGAAATTGGATCATAAGTACCTTTTAGGAGTCCCTAACTTTGAGTGGTCACTAAGCAATCAGTCATTAAGCAAGGACTACTTGTACTGTATAAAAATAAGGTATAATTAATACAGAGCAGCAGGGTGGAGGGTTAAAACATAATTTAAAAAAAACAACAGCTCAGGGCCAGATATTTATGTATGAAAGTGAGATTGTGTTTTATCTTTCCAATCATAACCCTCCATTCATGTGTGTGCAGGAAACCCTTTTTTAAAACAATATTTGTTTAATCAATCTCTTTTTTTTAGCCTCACACCCCGTGAATTCAACTCGTATGGTGCTCGTCGGGGGAACGACTCTGTGATGACAAGAGGCACCTTTGCCAATATCAAGCTTTTAAATAAATTCATTGGCAAGCCAGCTCCTAAAACAATCCACTTCCCAACAGGACAGACGGTGAGGTTATCGTCTCAAAGGAAGCTTATTATTGATTATCTAACCACAGTGAATATCTGGTGACCAGGCTCTCTGTCCTAATTGCAGCTGGATGTGTTTGACGCCGCTGAGTTATATCGGAAAGAAAACATCCCTCTGATTATCTTAGCCGGCAAGAAATACGGATTGGGCAGCTCAAGAGACTGGGCCGCCAAAGGACCTTTTTTACTGGTATTCCATTTTTACTTAAATCCATTATTATTGTTGTCGTTGTTATATACTTCACCCTGATTGATTTTTTTCATGAAGCTGCCATCTTTCATTTTGTAGAACATAAACTGCCCCTCAGTCTCTCTTCTGAAAACATACAAACTAGTCTCTAACACCAGTCTACGACTGATAACTGTAAAATAGGTGAATCTATTTATTTATACTTATATATCAAATTGAGAGACTGCCCCTCTCACTCACAGAACCACATTCTAGGCAGTGTGTAGACTAGAACCCCACATAGTCTTGAAGTCATGGTTTCACGTAAATGTTGTAAGGGATTGTTTAGAGGTCCAGATAATCCTGGTAGGTTAGGCTGTAATAATTGCTGCATTTATAACAGTGTTTCCGTGCGCCTCGGCATATGCTCATGCTGGCCACATGACCGTGGAGATATGTCTTAGGACAGCAAACCCCCCACCTTTTGGACACCAGGGACCGGTTCCGTGGAGAGAGGTTTTTCCGCAGACCGGAGGGGTGTGTGGTTTTGTGTGCTGCCTGCAGCCCGTGGATGGGGCTTCGCTTGTTTGCGCAGACCGGTTTCTGGCCCAGTACCGATCCACGGATCGGTGATTGGGGACCCCTGTCTTAGGACAGAGCTGACTCCTAAATGGAGGTGAGCCCCCATCCCATAGAGTCAGACATAACTGGTCAAAGGACATTACCCCTGAATTGTATCTGAAGAGGGATGAAGAAAGGAGAGGAGAGAGAAGAGAGTAAAGGAGGGGAGAAGGAAGTAGGAAGGCTGGAGGAAGAGGAAAGGGGAGGAGAGTGTTGAAGGAGAGGAGAGGAAGAAGAGGGAAGTAGGGAAGAGAAGAAAGGGAGAAAGAAGGTAGAGAAGAAGGAGTGTGGATGCGGTGAAAGGGGAAATGGGCGAGCAACACCAAAGTTATGTGTATTTATTTCATTTTGTTAAAAGTATCTGTATGTGAGTGTGGAGGGAATGTATGTTAATATCTGATAAGTATTACGGTATATGTATGGGGGAGAGTTTGGAAAAATAAAAAATTATTAAAAAAATAAAAAATAAATAACTGGTCAAAGGAAACCAAAACCTTTACCGATCTCTTTCCTCCGTTTCTCTTAGCGATGGTTGCTTGCATTTTGGAGTCTGGTGCAGTGCTAGGAGGCATCGCTATTCCTGTAGACATCTTCTCTTCGATAACCGCCAGGATCCCCTCCCCAGCATTTTTCCGAGGATTGCAAATGAGCCTAAACTTGCGTAGGGATCCCAGTGCTTCTGTTTGTCCCCCTGTTTATTAGCCTTCCCAGAAAACTCAGGATTCTCCGTTTTAAAATCCAGACTCCTGGATTAGAGCAATACGGCAGAATTAGACAGTATCTGAAATGGATCAAACTTTTCCCCCCCCACAGGGAGTGAAAGCCGTGATTGCAGAAAGCTACGAGAAGATGCACAAAGGTCACTTGATCGGCATGGGCATCGCACCCCTTCAGTTCTTCCCGGGGGAGAGCGCACAGTCTTTGGGCCTGACTGGCAAAGAGCAGTTTTCTATCTTCTTCCCTCAAGAGGTATCGCCTGGAATCGCCCTCTGTGTAAAGGTATCAGCCCTTTCACTTCGCTGTGTGATTCCATGCAGCATTTGATATTGGGGGGATGTTTGCTTTCATCATATTTTTCCTAAGCCTTTTTTTTATAAGGGGGTAGAAGAGCGAGAAAAGGAAGAATAAAATAAGACACAAAGTAAATAAGCGGGTGGTTGACAAACTTTATTTATAGTGGTTAAATTTTGAAACCACCTACCTCATTCACAGAGCGAGTGGGTGTATTTATATTTAATATTAGATTATAATTTTCAACATTGAATGTATTATTTTGGAAACAACAGGTTGTTCGCAAAATCTGTGTAATGTAGTCAGCAGAAACGGGTGGCATCCAGTTTCAAATTTTAGTATCCCTGGAAAAGACAAAAGTCTTTCACTGACCTGTGAATTTGTCTTTTTGTTTATTTGTTTGTTCTTCTGAAGACGAGTACTGGCAAAGCATTCCAGGTGACTGCCTCGTTTGACAGTGATGTGGAAATCACCTTGTACAAACACGGCGGCATGCTGAACTACATGGTCCGAAGGCTGTTGTAAAGCTGTTGTAAAGCCCTGTTCCCACCTCGGAGGACTGCCAACTCAGCCAGCCTCTTGAGGCCTCAGCCCGGGCCTTCCTTTCCCACTGGAACAGCTGACAAGCCCCATTGTGCTCAGATAACTTTGTTCATGGATGTAAAAGATTGTGAAATTGTTGTAGTGGCCGCAGCGAGGTCCTCCTGGATTTTAAAATACTCCGAATGGTGCTATTGACGTTGTTAGACATTGACGTTTGTGTGTGTTGTGAAAAAAGAACTGTAAGTATGAGGGGAGGGGAGGGTTAATCTTAGACCATTTTGTATATAAATTATGTGAAAAACCTGAAACTGAATTGTGAAGATTTTAAGCCAGATTCCTTGCAGTTCTTTTCTCCCTTGATTTTTTTTTCTTTGCACCTTTTACCTTCCTACTGCGGTTTCTTGGTTTGAGCATAGCACATGGTGTAATGATGTATGATTCCCTTGTTTTAAAATTAGGAGGATCCATAGTTCTGAAAATGAACCAAAACACCCACCACCCTTAGATCCAATTTATGGTATCAGCCACCCACTAGAAAGTTTAAGGAAAACTGGCATAGTATGGGTTGTTTTTTTTTTGTTTTTTAACCAGCCTTCCCCTGTTTCAAGGGTGGGCAACTCTGGCTACTTTATTCCTATGGCTCAGGAATTCTGGGAGTTGAAGCCCACTGGTCATAACATTGTCATTGTTGCCCCACCTCTGCTCTATTTGGTGCCTTCCAGAAAAGGGGGGACTGTTCGCAGCGGCCTCATCAGGTGGACATTTCTGGGAATTGGCCCAGACACTGAAGGGGATGGTCTCCGAGCAAAAATCTTGCTCTGTGAAAAATTCCAAAACTGAAATTCAATTGGAGGAAATGCTGTTTTCCAAATAGAAGCTGCAGTGACTTCTCTGGCCTCGTAGCAATCCTTCTGAGGAATGGCTATCATGGAATTTAATTGGATTTATTTTGTCTCTCGCTTAAATAACATCGGCTTTCTTTTCTCAACTGGCTTTGGCTGTTAACAACTATTGAGAATGTTGTCTGCTCCTTAAAAGAACAGAGAAGAATTCCTGTTTCTTCTCTTCCGTTTGTGCAGTGAACAAAACCTGTTGGGTTTATAAAGTGAGTTGTCTCCGAGTTTTCTTCCAATCATTCTGCTCCTTCCCAAATTCTGAGCAGCAAAGAATTTCTTAAGTCCCCAGATGTTTACGGTAATTTTTGGTTTATTATTAACGGGAATTTCTGTAGCGGAAATATCCTGAGCTCATTTAAAAAGTCTCTTCCGCTTAAGATGTTTATAGACCTGGGTTTTTTATTAAACCAAACAGACCCCATGTAATAGAATAAGTACTTCTACTAAATTCTGTGTCACTAAAAGTATATATCCTGACGTTCTGAAAGACAATTTAATTTTCACACTTACTAGATTATTTTTTTTAAGGCCAAATGATTAGAAATATGGATTACAGAGGCAGCAATAAAAATCTGGAACATTTGTGTTCGGTCCCTTTGAACTTAGGTATTTTTCCAACAAGCTCCTTAATCTACAATCAGAGACATTTTTTCTTGAGTCCATATTTTTTTTTCTACCATATCAGCTGTGCTTATACCTTATAGTTTTACCATTGGTATCTTTCCTTTGTTATTGAATTATTATTTTTTCGGATTTGAATGAAATGCTTGAAGTTCTGTCTTGATGATCACAAAGGGCAAAAGATAACGATATCTCACTTTTGGTACCTAAATTATTATTATTATTATTTTAACTTCCAGGCATCTTCCTTATTGCTAGGTTCCAGGCACTGTTTTTCTCTCCTCCCAAGTAAAATTGCATGCCCTAAAGAAAACCAGGGTGCCTTATAGACACACCCCACGGTCCTCTAACCATGCTGGCTGGGGAATTCTAGAAGTCCACAAGTCTGAAAGTTGCCAAGTTTGGAGACCCCTGCTTTAGCCAAAAAACCAAAATCAACCCTCCTAATTTGGGATATTTTGTTTTTCAAAACTTGTAATTGACATTGCTGACCCTTTTAGTAATCTGACAGTCGCGTGAAGTCAAACATCATCTGTGAATGGTCTCCGTCTATCTGTAGGTGCTGATCTCTGACATTCTTTCAAATGGGTGGGTTCAAATGACCAGCTTCCCCCAGCCCAGCCCAGCCCATCTCAGATTATTGTTTTTGTTGCATATGTATGATCCCACCTGTCTGATGATTCTGGCCTACAGATGTTAGAAGATCCGTCCAACTGCAGTTCTCCAAATGTCACGTCCAAATTATGATCCATATTTTAGGTCAAACTTGGGGGTGGGCAACTATGGGGACTTCACGAGTTGTGGACTTCAACGCCCAGAATTCCTGAGCCAGCCTGTGGACTTCAACTCCCAGGCTGGCTCAGGAATCCTGGGAGTTGAAGTCCATAGGTCATAAAGTAGCCATAGTTGCCCATCCTTGGTCAAACTCATTGACACGGCTTGGCTTTTTCCTCTTAAATTCAAAAGATAATATTTTGGAGGTTGCAACCCTATCCTTTTTTTTTTTTAAAAAAAAAAACAACTTCAATTTCCTATGAACATCTGGGAAGAACTGACTATAAATAGATTGAATGGGAGAGGGACATAATGTGTGAACCAGCAAAGAGCTTGGCAGAGAGTCCTCATAACCCTCCTGACTGACATTGGTACGTTGTCATTGAATTAAAAAGCTGAAAGCCCTGAGCTGACCAAATCTCGAAAGATTTCAGACAGCTTTAGAAGAAAGGGGTTTTTGAAAACACTAGTCCTCACCTCTGGAGGACCTTAAAAACCTCTTGAACGATATCGCAAATCTGCAGGCTTACATGGATTAATTCCCTTTCTAAACCGATAAAAGCATAATGATTTAGACACTGTGATAGGAGACCTGTGCAGTGCCATTAATTGGAAGCAAAACCACCGAATTCTTTTCAAGTTGGCAGCGCACAATGCATTTTAATCAGAAGGCACTGGGCGTTCCATAACCTACCATAATCCTGGGCTGTCGTGAGGCAAAAAAAAATCACAAAAACTGGAAACAGAGCCGAGGTGGCGCAGCAGTTAGAGTGCAGTACTGCAGGCCACTTTAGCTGACTGTGTTCAGCAGGTCAGCGGTTCAAATCTCACCGGCTCAAGGTTGACTCAGCCTTCCATCCTTCCGGGGTAGGTAAAATGAGGACCCAGATTGTTGGGGGCAATGTAAATATATATATACATTGCGTACTGGTGTACACCGCTTAGAGAGTGCTTGCACTTAAAGCGGTATATAAGTCTCATAAATAAATAAACATGTCCAGTTTTCGCATTCTCTCTTCGATTTGGCTTCTGAAAAGAGCCATATTTGAGCCCTTGATTAGGTTGTCACTAAACTAGGGGGGAGGGGGAGAGATTTTTTATCAATTATACACAGCAAAAGAATACCTGCATTTTATTATTCTCAACACGAGCCACTGCAACTGAATGTCTACTCCTTTTAAGCCAATGTTAATAGATTACAATGGTTTCCAATTCACTAATAAGTATTGTATAGACCTCTTAAAAGACAGAAGTTCAATTTGCTGACAATTGTGCATAAAATGTTAAACTGATGTAAATTATTTTTAATAAAGAAAAGTTGTACCATGTCTCGGCTGCAACTGGTTTTTCTTTTGAACTACCTTTTTGGCAAATCTTCTAGGGGACTAGATTAGTAAAAGCTGTCGGCTATGGTAAAGTGGCTAAGGACATTCATAGCTTCCTGAAAGGTTTGTGATGTTGCACAAGGTGAAATGAACCAGGGTTGGCAAAAATCACTTTTTATGAATTGACGCGTTTGAAACAGCTTCCGTGGCAAAGATATAAACAGCTATCCAGATTCATTGAAAAGAGATGGGACTACATAGGAATCAAGCAGAGGCAGCTGGATATTTCCATGGTGAATTCTTTCACTCAGTCAAATAAGGAAGAAAAGATTCTTCCTTGAAATTCTTCCAAGTTAGATTTGAACTTGACGTTAAGTGACCAGTTAAACAATCATTTCTGTACAGAGAATGTATATGCATCATTACAGAGGTCTGAAGCTCCCCATAATGTTCAGTTGAATCTAGCAGGAAATCTCTCACCTGAAATCTTAGATTTGCTTTTCTTTACATTCAGGATTTGTTTAATCTTATTATAGAGATAAAATCTTAAATCTCTCTGTTATACTCAAAATTTATTTCTTGGTCCTCCTGAGAGTTTGGGGCAGGGGGAAGTGAAGTGTAAAGTTGGCATCCTGTCTTACTTAGCACGACTTTATTTAACTGGGATGCACTGAATGTCTTAATTGAGCGTGGCTTTGCCCAGCAACAAAGTCACAAATCTTAATTAGTGAAATCAGTTGGCTTTACACAATCATTCAAAATCAAATCACGTTAACAGCCTAGTCCCCTGTGTGAAGCCAGCTATTGTCCTGGGTTTCGAGGTTGTAAAATTTTCTGCGCCAAAGCATCTGTGCAGCGTTTGAGCACCTAACGAAATCGTATAACCGTCTTGGAAAAAGTTGGATTTATTTCAATTGCCTCCCCACCCTTAAATCAGTTGTTTCCCAACCTGGGGAACTTTGAGACGTGTGTACTCCAACTCCTAGAATTCCACATGCCATTTAAAAGTTGCTAAAAACGCTGCCTTAAAACCTTAAACAGACTTTGCAGTTCTGCAGAAATTGCAGACCAAAGCAAAAAGAAAGGGAAAAAAGCATAAATGGTAATATAGGAAGAGCATCAAAATGACAATTCTTCGGATGTAAAATTCCTTTTTAAATGTCATGGATTGGGGGGGGGAGATATTTACGCTCCAGATGAAAATCTATTCAATGTGGGCTTTTTAAGGTGATCTTAATAAAAAAATATGGTGACTCTGCCATCAGAAATACACGGAAAGAGGAATATAATCATTAATTAGACTTGGGATCAGAAAGGGGGCGGGAACTAAATTCCTTACAGCCAATTAGAAGCCTCCTTACAAACTGTCCCCAGGCGACGACAAAGCAATGTCTAAGCCTGACTTTGATTGGACGGCAGCAGAGGCTGTGGCTTTGCAGGATTGCGGGTCGGATTTTCTCAACTTGTGAATGCAGTTAAATTTATTTAGGATTATTTTACTCTTGGCCCTGTCCAACCGGCTGCTGTACTGCCCCATCTGGAAAGAAAATATTGCATTCTGCTTTAAGTTGCACGCACACACGTGGAAAACATTTCAGGTGATCCCTGCGGACCCTGGAGAAGGTAACAACCCTATCCTTGCACAACTGGTTTACGGTGAAGAAATTTGTACGTTTGTTGCCCAGGTAAGACCTCCAATTTGAGTTTCAAACAGAAATTCTGCCCTTCCAGGTGCACACGTTTTGTTTTTGCCTTGCAGCATGCCTTTAATTAGAACATATTTATATATGTATGTATGTATGTATGTATGTATGTATGTATGTATATATATATATATATATATATATATATATATATATATATATATATATATATATATATATATATATATATATATATATTATATATATATATATATGTTGCAATCATCTGACTTCTCTCTCTCTTAATATAGGAAGTTAAGGAGGGTGTTTGCATATCTGGTGTATTTGGAATAGCAAATAATCCTGATTCAAATCCGCGTATTTCTCAACCTTAGTGCCTTCCCAGAATTCCCCAGCCACGAACTTTGGACTTTGCCTTTGCAATTTTGCAATTGCAGCTACTGATAACTACGATAAACCCAGGTGTTCTCTTGCCCCTCTTTAGATGCACCATGTCTTCTGGAGACCAGCAGCAGCTTCGACCCCTGATTAAGCCAACATTCACCGAAAAACAAGCCGCTGAACTGGTCCGAAGAATATTTGGCCTGGAAGTCTCCCAGCTCAAATCGCTGCCCAGCTATGATGATCAGAACTTCCACCTAAGTGCTGCTTCGTTCCCCGAGAAAGGAGAAAGCACTCGGGACTTTGTCCTCAAAATTATAAACGCTGAAGATAGCAAGAATACAGATCTTATCGAGGTGCAGACCCAGATAATGATGTTTCTGAACAGCGAAGGTTTTCCCGTGGCCATGCCCCATCTCACCCAGGATGGCAAAGTGATGTTTCTGGAAACAGTAGGTGAGGAAGCTGAACATATTGGATGGCATTCAAATTCTGCTTTTTTTTCCTTGGAGATTCTTACCCCTCCAGGTCCCGGTTGTCCCAAAGAGGCTTTTCCAAAAAGCAGCTAGATTTTCTTTTTTTTTTTTCCTTGAGGAATTGAAGAAGCTTCTTGGATGAGAAGTGAAACATTTGTTGAGGAACAAACTAAGAAGGTCCAGTAATCTTTTGAAAAGCAGCTTTGATACTTCTGCTGTTTGCTTCTTACGGGGGACTTCATGGCTGGCATGGGTACAACTGAACGAACATGCCCTTTGCTGCCTCTTATCTTGCTGTATTTATTTTTCAAAAAACAAGGCTATTAGTTCTGTGGACTAATGCGTGCATGAAGAGTGCATAACTACAGTATGTTATCCTAACTAAGTTCTCTATGGAAGTTGTTTTCCTTCATTAATAGTAGTTGGCACTTCCGGTTTTGGGCAAAACTGTGCCCATAGCTAACCATTGGTTTTCTTAATGACCCTTGCAAAAAGAACATACAATCAGCAAGTCATATGACCGATTTGTTTTACAAACATTATGACTTACAACCGTACGGGAGAAGTTCCATTATGGTCATAATTTGAGGAGGACCTGAATAGGATTGTGTAATATTCCACGTGTACTTTTTAATGGTAAATATTTACCAAGAAGTTTGTTCCAAACTGGACTTTTTTGATAGAGATGCGTCTCAGCTGGGCAATAGCTGCAAAGCGACTTAGTGATTTAAGGTCTCTTTTTACCGCTTAGATACTGGATCCTCCACCCAGACGTTTGCGGTGAGGTTGCTGAGCTACTTGCCAGGCAAAACTGTGGCCACCCTCCCTGTGACTCCTCCAATTCTCTTCGAGATTGGACAGATGGCAGCGCAGCTGGATAAAGTGCTGGCAGAGGTGAGGTTTACAATGCTTTACAGAAGGAAAGATGTGGGAATTTATTAGTAGAATTTGATCCCAGGTTTGCCTGTCCAAGAGACTTTGCAGCTTTATATAGAGAAGGTGTATGGGAAATTTACTACATGAAAGCTTCCAGTTGAAACCACACTTTATATCAGCCAGCCAACATGGCTGGTTAGGGAATTCTGAAAGCTGAAGTCCACAGGTCTTAAAATGGCCAACCTTGAACACCCCTGCAATATCTATTTCAATTGGGCATTCAATAATTACAACAGTCTAGCCAGACAAATAAACAATAGAAACCCAGGATATTTGGGCTTTATTAATGCTTTAATACCGCCTTAATAAAATACTTACAACCTGGGATTTCTCAGTGCAATTTAGGAACAAGAATATCCATACTAATTGCTGCATTAGAACGAGAAAACTCTGTAGGGTCATCGGTCTGGAATAATGTTACTGGGTCCAAAAATGTGTCCTGCCTTGCAAAAAAAATAAAGATTTATTGTGTTTTCTTCTCACTTCAAAGAAATTCCAACATCCGTTGATAAAAAGCTTACACAGAGGTGAATTTATCTGGAATCTGACAAATGTTCCTTTTCTGAAAAAATACATTTATGCTCTTGGCAAGAGCGAGCATCTGAATGCAGTGGTGCAGGTGATCGAGCAGTTCCAAATTAATATCATTCCAAAACTGAGCACCTTTCGGCCCTGTAAGTATTTTTATTCAGTGTGATAAGATCTTCTCTTTTGTTTTTCCTTTGCATGGGCCATGTGAAGCAATTTGCTGTTGTTTTAATTGTTGCAAACCATTCAGAGGTCTTCTTTCCTTCCTTTCTTTCTTCCTTCCTTCCTTCCTTCCTTCCTTCCTTCCTTCCTTCCTTCCTTCCTTCCTTCCTTCCTTCCTTCCTTCCTTCCTTCCTTCCAAATTTATTTGCCAGCCATCTCAACCATAAGATAACTGTAGGTGGCCTACAGTGTAACAAAACACTTTAAAAATACAAATCATTATCTATGAATAAAACTAAAAGATTGGAGGGGGAGTAGGCTGAGCAAGTGAGGAGATTGGATTTTCTCCTTATTAATCTATCAACCACCTCCAGTGTGATGTTTCCCCATTGTGAGATGGGCAGCTATACAAATTGGTTGGATGGAGAATGGATGGATGGATGGATGGATGGATGGATGGATGGATGGATGGATGGATATAGAAACAGACAGACATGGCTGGTTGGTTGGTTGGATAAATGGAGATGATAAAGATGTTTAGACAGATAGATAATAAAAAGACAGACAGATGAGAGAGCGAGATAGATAGATAAATAGATAGGTAGACATAGAGATAAAATGCCTCCAGTGGTGAATGAAATCTGTCTCTCTGCCATTTTGCAACAACTGATTGTAGCCTCACCCACCAGAATACCTGAGAAAAGGTCCATTCCTCATTAAGGCCACTCTAATTGCTTTGTGATGTGAAACAGCACAGTCGTCTACAAAGATCACCATCCCACCATCTCTGCTCCCATAATCTCTAGTGACTTTCTTTGTCCTCTGCCTAGGCATCAATCATGGAGACTTCAATGATCACAATATTCTAGTCGACCTTGTTTCAACATCTCCAAATCCACAATACAGAATCTCCGGGATTTTGGACTTCAGCGATATGAGTTACGGCTACTACGTGTTTGAAGTCGCCATCACCATCATGTACATGATGATCGAAAGCCAAGAGCCTCTCCTGGTGGGCGGCCACGTCCTGGCTGGGTTTGAAAGCGTGGTTCCTTTAACCCCAGAAGAACGAGACGCTCTATTCCTCCTGGTGTGTGGGCGGTACGCCCAATCCCTTGTGATTGCCGCTCACACCACCCTCCTGCACCCCGAGAACGAAGAATATTTAATGATCACAGCCAAAACGGGGTGGAAGCATTTGATGATGCTGGTTGAGATGGGCCAAGAGATAGTTGAGCAAATCTGGTTCCAGACAGCAGAATCGTATCGGAAATGATCCGTCAGCATCTCTGAGAGCACAGTTATGGATGTTATCAAGTTGGAACCAGGGAAAAATCAGCAAAAATTTAAAAGCCCCAACTGCAAAAGGTTTACGTGGCTAAGAATTGTTTTCCAGGCCCAATGCACACTGGTTATACATGTAAAACAACGTTTGGTTTTATTTTGGCATGTGTGCCAAAAGAGGGAAAGGAAATGTCAAGCCCTGAATTGTCAGGTTTTTGCATTCAGATGTTCAGCTGGGAATTTGTAGCAACAACTAATCTTCATACAGAACAGAAACTTGTTGATATCTTCATTAGCACATTCTGCACTTTGTTGAATAAAGTGATGTTCTTCATAGTTTTTATCAGAGGATTGGTGTGAAGTACTCTCAGCTTTTGGCCCTATCCGGTGTATAGAGAATCATACAAAATTGTTGTAACTCTTCTCCTGAGCATTCAATAGCTGGTTTATTAAACTGTGTACATCTGCATAGCACAAAAGCCCCACGTGCCTTATCAGACTTGATATCGGTTTTAAAAATGGGAAATCCAAACCTAATGTGAAACTTTATTTCCACCTCAAACCTATCGCCTCCTCTGGACAACTCCACAATAGGCTGCAATACAGGGACATTAGCAACCCCATTGACGCCCAGCCTCTTCTGTCAGTCCTGCAATAAAGACCAAATTGCTGCTGGATTTCAATACAATATATAGATAAGACCAGTTGCAAGGCGTAGTCTAGTGTGTTTACATATTTACTTTCAAAAGACAAAACACAACATTGGTTTTTTTTCACTCCATACACATGGTTTGGAGCCCTGAGTCTGAATATTAGTTTGACAAAATTCACCCTTGCTTCAGCTCCTTTCATCTCCATGCAAGTTTTCTTGACCGTACAGAACATGGTTTGCCACCTCTTCTCTCGAGATGCTTGTTCCCAGTCTAACCTATGCTTTGGATTACCTGGTGGTGCCCCATCCCGAGTCCTACCCTACTTATCTTTTCAACATTTTATTACCCTTTGGTTTCATTATAAATTAAGTTTCCATGCCAACCACGCAAGGTCAGCTAAGAGCTGCCCTCCGTTGAGGCATGTTTTATTTATACCCAAACACTATTGCTCGAACCTTTTTCGTTCCCCCAATTTCTGCCTCGACTGCCCACAACAAACATGGCGCTCGAGGCCACGCTCCGGAATTCCGGCTCGAAAAGGAGTCCTCTAGGACTCGACATCTGTAGCTTTGCTCCGTCTCGCGCCGGGGCCGGCTCCCTGAGCGGCTCGGGAGTGCGCAGGCGCGGGCGACCATTTTGGAAGGCGGCGGAGGTGAGTGGCCGCGAGTGGGGTCTCTCTCTCTTTTCGGGGCGGACGCCGCCGGGTCGGAGCCCCTCGCGGGGCGGGGTGGTGGGGCGAGGGTGGCCTCGGCCGCCGGGGGGTGCTCCTCCGCCGGCTGTCTCCGCGGGACTGTCGCCTTTCTCCCCGGCCCGGCTGGAGGATGACTGTGCAGCTCCGGGAAGGAGGCTCTGGATGGGGGGAAATGACGGATGGATGGGTGGATTGATAGACAGGCAGGCAGGTGCATCGATAGGTAGACCGGGGTGGGGGTGAGGTAAGTAGGTAAGAGGTAGGTAGGTAGGCAGCATAATAGGTGGGGTTGGGTCGGTGGATAGTGGCAGGGAATTGGACGGACGGGTGGATGGACATACAGACCAATGGGGCTATTGCACAAAAAAGTATAACAATTAACGGGCTGGATGGATGAGGAGGTGGGTAGGCAGGTAGGTGGATGAGTATGCAGGTAGGAAGATGGCTGGAGTGGTGGCTGGAAGGAAGAGGAGGGAGGGAAGAAGATGGGAAGGAAAGATACATAAGAAAGGAGACAACAGGAAGGAAGGAAGGAAGGAAGGAAGGAAGGAAGGAAGGAAGGAAGGAAGGAAGGAAGGAAGGAGAGAGAGAGATACATAGGAAAGGAAGAAGGAAGGGAGATTTGTGGGATATCCTGGAGGAGTCTAGTTGAATGCATGGGAAAGTGAATAGGTCATCCAGCTCTTTTTGTGTCTAAGGCAGGACTCGAACTCATGGTTACTGGGTTACTAGCTCAAGACTCCTGTCATTTTATTAAAGGCCCAGACTCATCCTGTACTCCTAGCCGTTTGTTGATGATGGCAATACTCCCGAAACATTGAGAAAGTGCTTCTAGTTTTGCTTTCACAATTCACAAGTTAGTTTTCAATGGAAGGCTTTAAGCAAAATAAAATATCTTTTAGTTACTCTACTAGCTTAGTAGCATTTGCGGGCAAACGATGAATCTTTGCTCCCATAATATGATTCTTTTAACATCTTTTCTTCCAGAGGCCAGCTTTTCTTATTGTCTCAGCACAGTTATATTGCTGTCAAATTTCTAATCCATGCATAATTCAGGTTTTTTTTCTCTTTCACAGTGTAGTCCAACCCAGAAGCACCATGGTGAGTTTCTGCATCCCGGTTTCATAAACATTAGGTTATGTAAATCATAAATGTTAGGCCAGTGGTTCTCAACCTTTTTAATGCCGCGACCCCCCCCAACCGGTCATAAGTCGAGGACTACTCAACCAGTCGGAGGTCGAGGACTACTCAACTGGTGCAGCACCGTTTGCAGAATGGGACTTTGGCGGGCTCAGCAGGGCAGAGACAGCCTGGACAATTCCTATTGGCTTTGGAAAGCCAATAGAATTAGACTCTATTCAAGAGAGTCTATTCTATTGGCTTTCAAAAGCCAAAAGAATAAAAGGGAGTAGCACAGCTAAGGGAAAGGGGGAAAAAAATGGCGGACTGCGTTGTTTGGCGACCCCGTGAAATGGTCGTTCGACCCCAAATGGGGTCCCGACCCACAGGTTGAGAACCACTGTGTTAGGCTGTGTATAACAGAGTAGCTACTGCAGTCTTGTCCATTCATTTTCAGAAATCCATTTTATATTGAAGTTATTAAACATGGTCCCCTTTTTATAACAATTCCACCTGCCTAAAGCAGTGTTTCGCAACCTCGGCAGCTCGAAGATGTATGGACTTCAACTCCCAGAATTCCCCTGCCTTGAGAATAGCATTTCATACATTGTATTACCTGCCCTTCCCTTTTTTGGGGAAAAAGTAAACTCTGCTTCTCAATCACTACTTTGGGCTCCCGATGAGTTTTTATTTATTATTAAATTTATACGCTGCCCATCTTCCCGATAAGGCAGCTCTGGGCAGCTTATTCGAATTTGGCTTAATTTCATCTGGAATGCAGTGGAGCGAGCAAAACCTGACTGAGGGTTTGATGGCTGCTGCCTTCAATCCTTATTCCAAAGGTGCTCCTTACTGTACCAGCAATTGGGAGTAATATGACCACCCTTTTGTCATGGAGTGCTTTATTCATTAACAACACACACTTTTTCCTTGCAGTCTCGAAGATATGATTCCCGAACGACCATCTTTTCCCCCGAAGGTAATTACGTGGCAAAAAGAGAAGCAGCAAGAACCAGATAGCCATGTAATCAGAGATGTCCTAAAATGATTTTCAAATCTGTGATCCCCTGTCTAGGATTATGTCATAGGTAGCAAATTAAACAAGTTAGAACAATTAATCAATGGAACAACCTGCCTCCAGAAGCGGTGAATGCTCCAACACTGGAAGTTTTTAAGAAGAGACCGGACAGCCATTTGTCCGTAATGGTGTAGGGTTTCCTGCCTGAACGGGGTGGGACTAGATGACCTCCAAGGTCCCTTCCGACTTTATTATTATATTATAATTATATTATTATAAATATTTGGTTCTTAATTACCAAACAATAAATATTATATTTTGCATTAACCTTGTTTTTTTTAAAAAAAGGAGAGTTGGGAACATATAATTTCATTCCCTTTTTTCGGGTGAGAGAGAGCTTGGTTTGAAGAGGATTGGGGGGGGGAAAACATAACTGTCTTCTGGTACTTGAGGAGCGGTCTCAGAGAAGGGGAGGGGAAAATCAACCTATTCTCCAAAGCACCTGAAGGCAGGACAAGAAGTAAAGGGTGGAAGCTCGTTAAAGAGATCCCATCTAGAAGGAAGGAGAAATTTTCTGACATTGAGAACAATAAATGGGACAGCTTGGCTCTCAAGAGTGATGGGTGCTACATCACAGAAGCTTTTCAAAAATACACTGGTCAGCTATTAGACCAGGATGGTATAAGGCAGTGGTTCTCAACCTTTTTAATGCCGTGACTCCCAACCGGTCGTAAGTCGAGGACTACTCAACCGGTCGTAAGTCGAGGACTACTCAACTGGTGCAGCACCGTTTGCAGAATGGGACTTTTGGCGGGCTCAGCAGGGCAGAGACAGCCTGGACAATTCCTATTGGCTTTTGAAAGCCAATAGAATTAGACTCTATTCAAGAGAGTCTATTCTATTGGCTTTCAAAAGCCAATAGAATAAAAGGGAGTAGCACAGCTAAGGAAAAGGGGGAAAAAATGGCGGACTGCGTTGTTTGGCGACCCCCGTGAAATGGTCGTTCGACCCCAAATGGGGTCCCGACCCACAGGTTGAGAACCACTGGTATAAGGTCTCCTGCCATGAACAGGGGTTTGGACTAGAACAGGGGTCCCCAACCCCCGGTCTGTGTACCAGTACCAGGCTGCAGCATGGCAGCAACTGGTCCGCATAAACAAGCAAAGCCCCATCTGTGGGATGCAAGCAGCACACAAACCCACGCACTCTCGGGTCTGCAGAAAAACTTTTCTCCATGGAACCGGTCACTGGTGCCCAAAAGGTTGGGGACCTCTGGACCTTCAAGCTTCTTATCCAGCCCTATGATTCTATGTGGGTTTTTTTTGAGGACGTGCTTTTTCCCTTCTAGCCTAACCATTATACAAAACGATTGGCTTCAGTATCCTGATACTTCAGTAAAAGGTGGTGGCTTCAAATTTAACACTGCTCTTCATGGTCTTCTCCTAGGCCGTCTGTATCAAGTTGAATATGCAATGGAAGCCATCGGACACGCTGGGACCTGCTTAGGAATTCTTGCCAACGACGGAGTCTTGCTAGCAGCAGAAAGACGGAATATCCACAAGCTTCTGGATGAAGTCTTTTTTTCAGAGAAAATATATAAACTCAACCAGTGAGTGAGATACTGGAGGAATTTATCTTTTTTTTTTTTAATCTGTATGCTTCATAAACCCTCTCCTTGAAGTCAAGTTCTTGGATATCTGCTGGAACTTAAAAGATCATTGGCCTTCAACTCCCAAAATTCCCCAGCCAGCCTTCCCCAATGTAATGTCAGCCTCACCATCGGCATCTGTAGTCTATTGCTGTAAGGCCTGTGATAGTTGGCAAGGTTGGCACAAACTGATGGCTGTAGAATAGACCACAAA